ATCCAGGCACACACAAAACAAAAACTAGTAGCACCTCTCTGCTGTGGTCTCCCTGGCCCTTACCATAACATAGCTCTTTAAGGAGCATATCAATTCTACAACCACTTCTTCATGCAATCACATTGTCAAGCTTTCTACTAAACAAGAATCCTGAAATATTTACACACTCTTGTAAGAGTTCATACATTTTAATAGACAGACGACTAAAAAAGAAATCATTCATAAAAACAACAGATTTGAAAAAAAAATGCAGTAACTGAACACATCGCTATTTTTCATGTGGTCATACTGATATGCTGGGAAATATTTTCTACACATTACTGTAGCTCTGTAGTTTCTGTAACACAGCTTCCTATGGAAGGCTACCATTCCTTTTATTAGCATCTATGTAAAAAATGTCAGACATTAACACAGTTTGGGCCATTTGCCTCCCTAGATAGGAGCAGACACCTTCTCACTGTGTCAGGACTTAGGAGCTTCCTGGCGACTGTTCTCACAGAATACAAAAGGCCAGAGCAGTGTTCTCTGCTCACTCTTCATCCTGCAAAAATGCCTTATGCCAGGACTGTTTTCCAGCACCAGAGCAGAAGAAAACAAAAGACTGCTGCTGCCTTGACAACAGAAGGGCACACATTTCACCATGGCACTAGGTGGCCTATATCCTCTTAGTCACATGCTCTGCTGCCACAACTAATGTTCAGACCATGGGTTTCCCATCTTTGCACAACCACTAGCATCCAGACTTAAGATTACTAGCTATACCCACAGTCCCAAAACAGGGAACATTGTCAGTAAAGCAGAATATGTACTTAATGATAATTAGGTTCATCTGAGTCAGTGGTTTCCAACCTTTTTCCGAGTCCCAACCCCCTTTAATAAAAGCCAAGAAACCCGAAATCCCTCTTCCATGTGTGCCTAAAAAGGCATTTTTAATGGGGTAAAGTCATCTCAGAATAGAGGCTTTTCTCTCCCTAAAAGCCTTTTTTCTCGTACACACACGTACCTGCTAACTTTAATATCACGCGCTGAAAATCAAGGAAGATTTTTTTAACAAGGATTACAACACACGTAAAGCAACCTGCAAAGCCCCCCAAAAACACTTTGTGACCCCCCAGGCTGGGAAATACTGATCTAGTGGTCTATGGTGTTGTCAACACTGAAGAGTCATAGGGGAAAGTAAAATAAAAAAAATAAATACTGCAGAACTGCGTTTCTAGGTGATCACAGGTAACAGGAAACATACAATAAATGCAGGTGATTCTTTAGCAACCATATATGATACAGCAGTTGAAACAGCAATGTTTGAGCTAGTTCAGAGATGAGGAGGAAGTTCAAAATGGAGCAAATGTTAAGAAAATGAGATAACCAGCCAACATTAGTGCAACATTGAGGAATAACTGGGCAGTGTGGAACTGGCAGGTACTAAGTGCACATTAAAGCATGTGCACTAAAAAAGATGCATTAAAATTTCTTTCTAAAAAGACCCTAGGAAGCAGTTTTTACTACATGTGAATTTTCCACTTCATTCTAGCAGCTGCCCTGCCATTTCAGTATATAACCACTACTTTTCAAGAATGTGACATTTTAATTTTTTTTTTTAAACACAGGTTATGGTGTGGAACCTATATCCCTCCAGATACTACTGGGCTATGATTCTCATCATCCTTGACTACTGGCCATGTTGGCTAGGGCTGATAAGAGTTGGGTCCGCCATTGCTTGAAGGACTGCAGCTGTCCTGCCATAGAAAGAGGCTTGCTATGACAAATTCTGCTTGGGGATTTCTCCACTTTATGATAACATTTTACTATAGGAAACAGAGGAATCTGAAGCACTTTTCTAAACTATCAAAAAAGTGTTTTTATTTCAAGGTCTTTTAGATACAAATTTAAGATTCCCCTTCTAATATGTTTGAAATAGTAGAATTAACACACTTTTTACTTTAACATCATTAAGACATATATAAGTCAACACTGTGTATGTGTGCAAATAAAAATAACAGCTGCAATTTTACAGAAAAAAACTCAGTCACAAATTATTCTCTTACTTTATGGGATGTTACCAGTTCTTTTATAGATTCTTCTTTTAGATCAAAACTAAACATCAACCCAGTGTTGGAAAACTAACAAAGAATATAGGCAGTATCTAATGACAACATTAATGCATGCTGGAGGTACAAAATATAAGACATGTAATTTGGTATTCTGCTTAGTACTGAAATCAATATTAAAATGAGACATATGTCAGTTACAGGACTAATAAGAATCAAAAATGGCAATTTAATACCATAATCTGTTAAGAGTGTGGAAGCAAAAAAAAAAAAATCAGCGGGAGAGTCTTACTTTCTGAAAAAGGCTTCTACCCTCACTTTTCTTTTATAGAACATTAACTATAGAAAAGGTGGGAAAATACCATGGAAATGTTCCATTCCACCAAAGTCAAGCCTATTCCTAGTAGGGAATGAAGAAAATTTAAATCAGTTTATATGACAGTATTCCAGAATTCAGGATTTCCTAAGGTCTGGAAAAGTAACATCATCCCTGGCATTTTACCGCAACCACCACCACAGGTTTATCACACGTTCTGTCATGAAGTCATAAGGAAGTTGATCAAATAACTAAATCATTACTTATACATATAAATAACATCAATTTTTGTTTTATTCACATGATGCACTGCACACACATTCTAGAAGGCAAAGGAGTGGATCTAGTAGGCAAAGGGGTGGATCTAAAGGGGTGGATCCTTCCAGTGTGATTTAAAAGAGGAAATGCCTCTTCTAGGGTGACAACTGTCATTTATGGTTGTTGCAATGCCATCTTTCAAAGCACATTTTATTAAAAAAAGAGCTCCCACTCAATTAATCAAGAGGAACATCTTTTTAATCAAATCAATCAAATATTAAAAGTAGTGAAAAAGCCACCTAGTAATTAGTGAAAAAAATACATCTCAGGAAGACAGGTGCTGAAGTTCATAAAGTTCTTTATACCGAACAACTTTCAACCCTGAGCAAAGTTTACAGCACATAAACGGTGTTATCTTGCTACTTTTAGCAACTGGACCTTCACATTTCCTCAATATTTCATCTTTGAAAGGAAGACTATATAAGGTGGTAACAAGCCCTAAAAGGATAAATATATCTGAATGCTGCAGAGGAGCCAGGGAAGATGAAAGTCATCCACAGCCTACATTTACTGCAGCAATGACCGAAAGTGTATGTGAGTGATTGTAATGGCACTTGGTCTGACTCAATGTCTGGTACCAGTACAGATGGCTTTGGCTGGCCCATGTTATACCTCTGGGGGGCTTTTAAGGATCACAAGGAACACAACAAAGGCCTAAAAAAATCACAGAAGCAAAACTGAAAGCGGCTAAAGGCCACTTTCAGTTTTGATCAATGGGTGGGTGAAAACAGAAGGGAAACAGAAACAGCATCTAGAGAAGATGAACTGCTGCTCCTTCTGGTTTCTCAGAAAAAGTAATCTTGCCGACTCTGCAGGAAGGAGGAGATGGTCAGAAGAGAGATCCGAGGGCTTTCCAAAAACAGCCTCAACTTTGCCTAATCGGTGCTTCTTAATCGTGGTCCAAGCCTTGAAAGCCCCACAAAAACTCCACCCTGTGCATGACATCCCCAGTGGACCCTGATTCCCACATGCAACAAAAGCCATCCTTTTAATTTCTTACTGCTGAGGTCTTCTGTCTGGAGAGGGAAAGTTAGAAGTTCTTTGAGGGATGGAAACAAGAGGCCAACCCACATGATTTTTGAGCCCCTGTTAATCGTGGTCCAAGCCTTGAAAGCCCCACAAAAACTCCACCCTGTGCATGACATCCCCAGTGGACCCTGATTCCCACATGCAACAAAAGCCATCCTTTTAATTTCTTACTGCTGAGGTCTTCTGTCTGGAGAGGGAAAGTTAGAAGTTCTTTGAGGGATGGAAACAAGAGGCCAACCCACATGATTTTTGAGCCCCTGGGTTTTTTTAAAAAAAGACGAACAACGCTAACAGAACAGGGCAAATAATAATAATAATAATAATAATAATAATAATAATAATAATAATAATAATAATAATAATAAATTTCCTCCTTTTCTTCCTCCTCCTATGTTGGAGCCACCCAGGAACCCCCCCTCCAGTTCTCCGAAGTCGCCCCTGTTGCAAGCCCCCCCCCATTCTAACGGGGATGAGGGTGATATGAGGGGGCCAGCGATCTCCCCACGAAGAGGCCCAGGGGACCCCCAGCCCCCACCATCCCGCCCCACAAAGGGCTGACTCCGGCAAGGCCTCCCTC